TTGCAGGTATGGCTAGTCGTACTCTCACTTGTAAAAAGTCAGAGAGCTTAAATAGATAATCTCCTAGTTAGATTGCAAGCATGGCAGCTAGTGTAGAACTCAGGCGGACTACTTAAAATAGACAACCAAAAGTTGTACGTGTGGCTAGTTGTAGCCTCATCATAATTGTAAATGTTGTTAATTATCTAATAAAAAGCCCCCGGCCATAGAGGTCATCTTAACACCGAAAAAAAAAAAAAAATAATATTAAAAAATTATAAACTAATATAATATTAAATACTGTATCTATATTGTAAAGCATAACCTTAATATAATCTTGACATATAACCAATATTGGAAATAATTGAAATCTATATACTAATCTTCTATTAATAGTACTATGAATATAAATATAAACAAACTGAATATATGATTATAATCTACTATATTATCTGAATTTGAAAGAAATAAACAATACTAATCTTTTAATAAAGTAAACTATTTTGCTTATTTTTTCAAAAATTTTTTTAAAAACACAAGTAAGTAATAGTAAAAAATATAAACCAAGTACTTTTTTTAAAAGAAAGTATATATTTTTTCAAAAGTAATATCAAGTACACTGTTGATATTTTTTATAATAAGTGATAAACTTTAAACTTGTTAGCAATAGTATATAAGAATTACTTCTAAATAACAAGTATCATCTCTATGATAAGTAATAAGCTCTAAACCTATTAGCAGATAGTATATGAGAACTATCTCTAAATAATAGATGCCAGTTTATAGTTCTTGTCAATTCCATATCCATCTTTTCTAACTTAGTTTTACTAGGTCCGAGAAATCATTAAGAAAAGTAATTATTATTTTTTTTTAGATATACTATATATTAAACTAGATATCTCTATTAATTTTACTATTAATTTTAAGTTTTTGAAATTATCACTACAATATAATAAAATAATAATATAGTTAACTCTAAATACATATTTTTTAAATACAGATTCTTTTTAAATACAAATTTTTTTTAGTTCTAAGCTATATAAAGTTATAATAAACTTCTATTTTCTAAATACAAATTCTCTTTAAATGTAAAATTTTTTTTTTTATTTAAGAATTTTTTTAAATCCTAGTAAAAAGCATTTAGAGAAAGTTAACTATATACTAATAAAATATAATATAAAATTTATACTATACTATATCTATGCTACTCTAAAATCTACTTTGTAACAAAAGAATTAATTATTTGTAACTATAGATTACTATAACTATAACTAAAATCAAATGTATTAAACCAATTTTTTTTATAAAATAAAACTTTGTAGTTAAGATTAGAATTAAAATAAGGTTAGAGTTGGAAAATTAGATTATATCAAAATTTAGCAAGAAATTTTTTTTGTTAAAACAAAAACGATTTCAAAATCAAAAATTTTGTTATCACCGATTTTTAAAAAAAGTTTTTAAAACATTACACCTAATTCTAAATTTAATTGGCTTTTTAGATTACGAATTTATAAAAAAATTTTTTCCTTTATTTTTTAATTTGTATATATAATATTACAGAAAGTTCCACGTACGTATATGTATTTATTAAAAATTTTAAACCGTAATTTCTTTTTTTTTTGTAATAAATTGCTGAAAAAAAAATGGGCTGATCTATTTTTTGGTACTAGTTTTCGCTGGTAAATTTAACGATTTACACAAAATCTGCACTACTAGGTATTATTACAACATCTAGATTTGATTAGTATATCAGATGCCAAATAGCGATAGGTACTTGCCCGTATGAAAACTAACTCTGGGAATTTAATACGATAATCATTACATCATTATGGTGGGCGCCGGACACACAATACTACACATATGGCTAACACTAATATAAACGCCAATGCATTTAAAATTTGGGTTTAATTTAGGTTACGGCATTTGTTATAGATTGCAGTTTCGGCTCAGATTGCAAGCTACGGCTTACGGACGAAAAATCGATGCCGAAAATTTTTGAAAAAGTTACAATTAGTTATTACGTCACGTATAAGCTAAACATTAAATTTTATTTTGTACCAAAATTGAAATATATATATATTTTTTTTCATCACAATAAATTATGTGCAAAATTGCAAATACAGCTAATAGTTAAATCAAGCCACATTTTTTTCTTTCAATTATAAAGTTATTATTCTCTAACAGAAAAATAAGGGACTAGTTTTAATATTTCCAAAGTTGTGATTAATTTGATTAATTATTGAATCGTCCTTTCTCTCTTTTTTTTTTTTTTTCTCTCTATTAATGTAAAATCAACTATTATTAATTTGATGTAAAGAAAAATGTACAAGTGGGATAGGAGAAGTGAGGGTAATGTAACAGATAAGAATTTTAAAGATATAGCTACAAAATTTTTGAGTTCATAAGGCTTATTAGGGAAGACAAAGTGCATACAAAAATGATGACATAATTATGTAAAGATGTTAAGGAAAGTAGATGAATGCTTTACAAGACTGTAAAGATGCCGATCATAAACGAAAGTAAGAAATAAAGTTCGAGCAATCACCTGATTTTTCAAGTGGCATATTCCAATCCAATTAAATACTCGCTACCCCAAGGCATACCCCACCCTTTAACTCCGATTTTTTTCCAACAAACTCGTGGAATACCGATATCAGCTAAAAATAGTTCACCAGTAACAGCACGGGATTTACACCCACTTTTAGGCGCACCAAGACACAACGTCCATTTGGGATGAATATAATGAACGGGATTACTAGGATTACCTTAAAATAATATGTTGTAAAATCCAAAGTTATTTATATATTAATTTAATATACATTATATAAAGTTTTTTCTAGTTACCTGTATTTCCATTCACACCACTTGGCATATCTAAACTTAGAACAGGCGCTTTATTAACGTTAGCCCAATCAATCAATTCGCATATCAAGTGTTTTTCATATTCATCAACTATATCTCTTAAAGTGAATTGATAGCCTAGTAGGGCGTCGACAATAAGATCAACAGGGTTGGTGAATTGTTGTGGCAGTTCTAGATAATGTCACGGATTATTAGTGATTTTGTTAACTAAATGTTTAGATATTGTTTTTACTCACCTGACACAGCTTTAACAGATCTTCCACCAGTTGGATGTAGAATCTTTTGTTGATAGACAACACTCTATAATTTAAATTACATTGTAAAAAATACATTGGTTAGGGAAAAAAACTTTTTTTTTCTTAAATTGACAAAATCAACAATGTTTAAAATTATTTTACTTTGAGTAAGTCTTTATCTTTTCCGACAACGCATGCAATCACATGGCACCCATGATTTGCTAAATGCCGGGCGGTAGCAAGACCATATGCACCAGTTTTATTATTACCAGCAAGTATCACAACTAATGGAGCAGCATTATGGTTATGTGGTTGTATGCGCCGTGATCCACCTTTGTCAAAATAATTATAATGTATAATAAGTTAATCTCGCAAATGAAGTAAATTAACATTCAAAAAGATGCGGAATACTATACTTACCAAGTGCCTGTAGGCACATCATAGAAGCTCCCCTACCGGCATTTTCAATCATTTGATCTTCATTCGGACCAGTTTCTGTCGCTTGATATTTTAAATAAAAAGAACATATTTATTAAATATTCAATCGAAGTATTTATGTATCGATATTGTATCACAGATATTAAAGATATTATTCTCACCAGCAATCCTTTCAACTTCAACCATTTGAACAGGTTGAACAGTAGGACACGAAACACCAGTTAATGTCCTTATTTTAACTTTCCTATGATCGCCAACGCCATTAGCTTTTTTCTTCTTTTTCCAAGAACCATCAGAATCAACTTCACCATCATTAGCAGTTTCATCTTCTTCATCAGTGTGATAAAATTTTGATTTTCGTGAAGAAGGTTCTAAAACGTTCTCATGAGATGCTAGCTTGGGTAACGTAGCCTGATTTAATTGAGAGCCACCATTACGACCATTTGTACGAAAATTTGGATTACGATTGATATTGACAAGAAGATTTTCTGGCGCTGTGGAGTCCAGTTCCTAGAATAGAACATAAAAATTTAATATATTAAAAATATCACCAAAATTAAAATAAGATATTTTTTAAAACATTATTAAAGCTTACTCTAATTTCTGCAAATACTTTTTCTTTATCAAATAAGTCTAAGTTGCCTTGAAAATCAAAGTCTTTCGATTTAAAATCGTTAACATCTCCTCCAGCCCACTCATGAGTTTGTCTACGGCCACGTCTGGACCGTCTTGCTGTAAAGAATTTGGTAAAATAAATGTTAAAGAAAAACAAATTAATAAACAAATAAATAAGTAATAATGTATAAATCAATATTAGGTTTACCAGGAGATTGAGGCGTTCGTGAACTTTGATAATGTCCGTTTGTATTATGATTCTTAATTAGGAAGACGATAAAGTAAATAAATGTTGATAATTTTAAGGTTTGATACAAAATCCCGAAAAATTATAGTTAATGCCCACCAGTCTTTCGGGGTTACAACCTTAATAATGCAATTCGTTGGGATTTCATACCAAACTGTTAATTAAATATTCGTATCAATTTTTAAATTATTACCTTTCTCCTTCTTGTTGCCTTTTTTTGATCGTATGTCAAACTTCCAGATTCGGCACCGCTCGATTCACCACCATTGTGATGATTACCGTTAGATGTTTTCATAAGTTCCTCTTCATCACCTTTAGAATCACTATCTATTGTTGAGCCCGTTTGAGTTGTTTTTGAGGGTGTTCGTGAGCCAGATAAAGTTTGTTGAGAATGAATTGGCTATGAACATACACCAAAAAAGGGCAATTAACGTCGGAACCCCAGTCAAAAAAAAATAAACAAATTAAGTTATTAAGTACCAGATCTAGTTAAAATAAAACTCATAAAATATGTTTTTTCTAAATTTCTTGGATAATATAATGCAAATTATTCATTATGAAAAAAAGTATCGAATACATACGACGTACGGTGGAGAAGTTCTGAAGTAACATTTACATCGTTAATTCATTGTAATTAGTAAATATAGGAAACAACATACGTATATATATATTTAATTGCGAACTCATAAAGAAATATTTAAAACTACCTTAATAATCCATATGAATTTACTGGAGAAATCGAAGGATGTTGAGGTATATACTAATGACAATAATTAATAATAATAATAATAATAATAATAATAATAATAATAATAATAATAATAATAATAATAGAAATAAATTGAGGTAAAAAAAAATTGATCTGTTAATAAATAATTGACTTTTTTTGCTATTATGTAGAATTCTTTTTACACTTAAGTACAGTGTCATCATGTCACTCACTATGTCTAAATATTTTATTGGAATTGGACATATGCCTAATTGGAATTGGGCATATGCTCAATAAAGTCCAATAAAAGTTTTATTATGTCCAATTGGTCCATTGGTCCAATTGCCAACATTGCTCAAGTAACTTAAGTAAATAATAATTTTTTTTGAACCAGTAGAATAAAAATGAACTAACCGAAATAATTGCAGGATCTGTAAAAGGCGACCTCGATAATAGGCTAGAGGAGTGCAGTTGGTTTTGAATCGTTTCGTATTTCGTAGCATTATTTGGAGTAGAGATGGAGTTTTGTGAAGGTAGTTTAGCAGTTTCTAGATTTATTGCATTATTATAAGGAGTTTGTATTTGTCGCTGTTGAGAGATATTCGACTGGTTTAATGGGTTCGAAGCAAGTATTTGAAGATCTTTAATATCTGTGCCAGCTACTCCATATATAGCGAGTTGTTGGGTGCGACCGTTGTTGAAAAGTTTTACTGTTGTTTAATTTAAATCCAAAGTGTTTATAGAGAATGTAGAAGAAATTATGACGATATTACTGGAAAAAACGACTTAATATAATACAAACCGTTTTTAAGAGTTAACAATTGTGTGTGAGAATCGATATGAGATACGGTTCCTTCCAACGAGGAGCCATTACCAAGTTCAACATGCACACTCAAGCCAATGAAAGCTTCTGCCATAACACGACTGTTATTCTTGTAAATACTTCAACTGTATTTATTTACGATAATTTAAAATAAAGGTTGTCAAATTGAAATGAAAGCGAGTGCTAATGTTTTTTTTGTTTTTTTTTTCCCTATAAACCTTTAGAGGGTAGAAAGGTAGAAAGATTTTTATACTTTATATGGATCGATTTACTTTATACGTGGCCATTTTATTGGCTTAATAAAAGATTAAAAATACATGTGTTGGTGTAGATTCTACCGTACCTCAGTACCACACAAAACCACACATACACAATCTCACATGATAAAACCTCAATATAACAATTCTGAACCGATGTATATTGAAATAAAAGAAGCTTCTCTACTAATTTCGGTATTCTTAGACTATAACTTGTTGCCTCTAAATCGATTTCGCATGTCCAGCTACAAAATTGCCCAAAAAAAAACGTTAATACCAAGACCAGTAGTGATAATAATAATAATGCTACGTATACTAAATTGAAAATAAAATTTACCAATCCTCTCTTACATTCAAAGAAACTTCTTCGAATGCTTTGGCATTCTTTGGGTACATCTATAGCATTTTCGAATTGTAAACATTCTAATTTGTCATAAAAAAAATTTTTTATCGAATTTTGTATAGTATTTTTCAACACAAAACGTAAAAAGCGAATTCTCTTTTAACCTCTATCCACAAGTAGTTATTATAAAGAGAGTAAAAACAAATAGGTAAATTTTGACCCTTCAATTATCACCCCACCTTTAACAGTGTGGCGTTTCACTACTACGCAGTCAGATTTGAGCAAGCAATCGATGAGTTCCTTACGAATTTCTTTACAAGAAGGCATATTTGATTCATTCACAAACAAAAGTCAGATATGATAATCTATGCCGCCCTTTTTATAATTTTTAATCTCAGTGTAATAGTAATCACGAGACTCCTCCATATCCGCTCAACACATGGCATTTCCACAATTTCTATAATAAAAAAGATTACGCATTGATGCATTATTGTGTCTTGATAAAGGATTTCTTGGATATAAATAGATGCCAAACAGTTCCGTGAATCCGTGTTTAACAATATCAAACGCTTGAAATCAACATTACGATGGTAAACGTCTAGTAAAGAGAGAGAAGTATTATTATGCAAGGCATTAATATTTTAATTTCCACTTTTTGTAGGAGTTGTTATTTGGTCGCAAAAAGACGCCAGCCGAGTTACTACGGCAACATCAACGTGCACTTCAAAAAGCACAACGTGAAATGGATCGTGAAAAGGCAAAATTGGATATTGCTGAAAAGAAATTAATAGCTGATATAAAAAAGTCCGCTAAAGCAAATCAAATGGTATGTGGCTTCTATATACTTTCAATATATGCGTAAGCGCTTAGTATTACAACAATCGAAGCTTCAACACTTAATTTATATTCGTCAGTATATGAATACCTTACAGAAATTTGCTTATTATAATAAGGCTTATTCTTTTGGTTCTATGTTAATTTGGGTCTGATAGAGTGCATGCAAAATTATGGCTAAAGATCTGGTCAGAACTCGTCGTTACTCTCAAAAATTCCAATCAATGAAAACACAACTTCAAGCTGTTTCATTACGAATTCAGGTAAAGATTCTGTTACTTTCAAACCTTCATCTAATTGTTTTTTAAGTTTAATATGAATTATACCTAAAAAAAATTATTATTATTTTTTTTTTTTAGACTCTTCGATCAAATCAACAAATGTCTGAAGCTATGAGAGGAGCAACAAAAGTAACATGCAATTAATAATTTATATTATAAATTTACTTTAGATTAATTATTCAATTGATTTTTAGGCTATGAAATCAATGAATCGACAAATGAATTTGCCAGCAATGCAAAAAATCATGATGGAATTCGAAAAAGAATCTGAAATAATGGACATGAAAGAGGAAATGATGAACGATGTCATTGATGACACTATGGCAGAGGAGGAAGATGAGGAAGAAAGTGACGTAATCGTGAATCAAGTCTTGGATGAGATTGGGATCTCTCTGGATCAGTCGGTATGACTATATCCATATTTTCATGAACTCAGTTTTATTTAATAGCCTTATTTATAACTGTTATTTCAAAATTTAGCTTGTTGATACACCTAGTTCAATTGAGAGAGAGACCACCAAAGAAAAGGTTCCGCAAATTATAAATATGGAATCAAATGATGACGCAGCTTTGCAAGCTAGGCTTGATAATTTGCGAAGAGAATAGTACCAACTAATTCCGTTAACTGGAATTTGGTGCTCCACTACACTTCCAGATTTTTCCAATATTTCGATAGTTTCAATAAAAAATTTCACAGGAAAAATAATCTCACTAAAATTGAATATAATGCTAATGCATATATATATAGTTAATATAAGAGTAGAATGTATTATTTTAAATATATAAAATTGATAACTTTTTTTTGTGGTTTATATTAAGGAAATTTTTATTAAATAAACTATTTTTAAATTTTCAAGTCGTATAGTTTTTTTTGATTTTAATTATAAGTTTATTAAAGTAAGATAACAGCTATAGAACATGGTTTAATAATAAACCTTTATGCACTAATTTGGCTTTATGAATTGTCATAAGCCCATCAGTTATATAATATAGGTTAGCTATTTTAGAAACCCAATCTAATTCTTCATATTTACCATCTAACAATTTTCGGAGACTTACTCCATGACTATCATGTAGATATTATCTTTTGGGTTCTTGGTTATTCCATAAATCACAATTGCCGATTCCCCTGCTGATTTTCAACTTTCAATATTAATTATATAGGATAAAATAAGACTACTACACTTTAATAATCGTAAATTAAGATTCGTAAGTACTTCTAAACATTCACGTTTTATATCTTTAGAATTAGCAAGACTTTTTAAACAAACATTTATTTGCGGCTTCCTCTGCCGTCCCATTCTCCAAATAACTAATTCCTTTAATGTATCCATCAATCCATACAGCCTTAAAAACAGTGTCAAAACCTCCTTTAGCAAGATACTTTATATCAGTAAATTTGCTAAAGGGTATTCATTCAATAATGTCTTTAAACTTACTTAGCTGACATCACGCCAAGTGACAATTTACTAAAAGATGTGCCTGCAACTAATAAAACGCTAATCCTCTAAATGAACTTTCGGTGAAATGATTGTCGGTGAAGTGAGCAGCAAAGTTATTATAATTATAATTAAACAAAAATTTAATAAATAACTAGTTCTGGACCAGGACCGGACCATTGAAATTGTATTTAAATTTAAATTTCAAATAATAATAAATTGATTTTATCGGAGGATCTCAAAATAAGTTGTAACAAAACCGTTATTGTTGAAACGTCCAAAGGTAGAAAGAATCGTTACATCAAAAAAAAATAGTGAAAAAAAGGTGATGCCGTGTCACCTTTACCTTTCTAAATCTTAGAAAAATTTTTTTTTTCTTTTTTTTAAGCTGATTTTTTTGAATTTTTTTTTTTTTTTTAGGATAGTCTTCTTGGATTTGGTTAAAGCGTTAGAGGTTTTAGGGACTTTGAAAATCATGTGATTTTGTCTCCAGTTCCGTAAAATACGTACATTTACTTTATTTGTGGTTAGACACAATTAAATAATATTAATCTAAAAGTAATACGTATAACTTAACAATCTTAATTTTAAAAAAATTATTATGTACTTTGTAATTATTCCGTATTTTATTATATGTAAAACATTAATCTTATTCAGTCACAAATTTTCCCGGATAAATAAATCGTTAGCTTCACTATTCCCTCTAATATAAAGCCGAACATTATTTTTTAAATCTGAAATGATTCGATCCTTTTCCAAATTTGTCTGTTCTAAGTATTGTAGTCTAGAGTTTTTTTCCGAATCTGTCTGTTCCAAGTATTGTAGTCTAGAGTTTAAATCGGTATTTCTATTTTGCAGTTCTAATAATTACTTAATGTTATTATCAATCGCATCTATATAATTATTCACAATTATACAAATTTAATACCTTTCTTTTCCTCTTCAAGTGTCTTGCACGTCTTAATATTTATTTATTGATTAAATAATAATAATAATACGTAATAATAATAAATAAGAATTAATAATAATAACTTACATTTTCATATATTTGTTTAACTGAATCAATCGCGGATATAGATATGTCGAACATTGTGCTTATCGAT